AATGCTAGAAGTACATCATCATCTACATAATGGTGTACATAATGTTAATGTGTCAATCATCCAGTCATTGATGTGTCAGTGTCAAATTTGAATTAAAGGTCGGATGATTGCTACATTAGCATTATGTACACCATTATGTAGATGGTGATGTACTTCTAGCATTATCCTATATATCCAACCTTGGTGGGCTCCACAGTGACAGACCTAGTTTTGGCATTTTTATATCATACACGTTCGGTCCCCCAATTATATTTAATAAAAGCCAAAGTAGATGACGTAAGCAATTACACCTAAGCCATAGCATCCTCATAATAAAAAAAGATTTAGCCCCTGTTTAGTGTAATTAAAATCAATTTTTTTATTAAATTTTAATAAAAAGTTAATGAAATGTGTGGTTGCAAAATTATAGGGCCATAAAATATGATGTTAAGATTAATTATTAACTTTAAGTTAAATTAAATTTTAGATTTTAGTTCCACCAAACAGGGACTTATGGAATTTTAAAAGTGGAATCCTTCTGTACGTGAATATTATGAAATAAGTTGGTCTATCTTGTGGAATTACGTGTCCTAAGACACTCGAGGAAAAAAGAAAAATGTCCAACATGCCAAATTTCAGTAAAATTAGGAGCTTAATGTACGTGTTTTCATCCAATATTTGTTATGTCATTGGTCTAGCTAGCAGGTTTCAATCTAATTTTGAAAGAGCACATTGAAAAGCTGTTAAAAAATACTGAGACACTTGAAGAATTACTGTTAATTATTCCTTATGCAATCAAGAGAATGATTTGCGTTTAAAATGATAGGCAAATGTTGAATGAGATGGAAATCCAGATGAGCACAAATCAACTTTGAGATATACATTTAATAATAGCGTCATCTTTTGGAATAGCAAAAAAAAAAAAAAATGCATTTCATTCGGGGCAAATCTTGATATTTATAGTTCCAAGACAAGTATTTATTACGAGGCCCTCCAACAATTTTTTTTTTTTTACAAATATAACACTATTTAAATATTCAAATAATTAACACTTTTATATTGAAAAGAAGATTTTATCAATTCAAAAGATAGAACAGCAAAATAAAATTTCTCATTCAGGTCTTCAAATTTTTGCATAAATCTCATTAATTTTTTGTAAAAATATAAATAATAATTAGTCATTGTTTGGTCCACATTATTTTCAAATTACATTTTTTCTTTTTATTATTTTTTACCACACATTTTTCAATAAAAAAAATATTACACGTAAATCCAAAATTCTTCCTCATTTTTTTAACCACATATTCTCCATCAATTTACTATTCCAAAACGAATTCTTAAAATAAAATGGAAAACNNNNGAATTCTTAAAATAAAATGGAAAACAAATAAGCTCTTAATACCTTAATTACACAACTGGAAACCCAAAAAATCCATTCATTCTCGATCGAGTTTATAGCTTTCTACATAGTATTATCATTCCTATACAACATCAATCTACAAAATCGAGCAAGTAAATACCAACAAACTAAAAATGAGTTGACTCTTAAAAATAAACTAAATTAAACAATAATCCGCCTAAAATATCGAAATGGCCAAATCTCCACCGAATTGGTAAGATTTCAACAAATAACGTCATTTATTTGTACAATTGCATCTAAACAGATAAAATTATTGTAATTCGAAAAAGGACGGAACAATAGCATAAATCTTACCTTAAGTTTTTTGAAAACTTTCGAGAGAATCAAGATGGAACAATTATGTGTGGAAATTTGAAAATTTATAGATTTTTAAGTGAATAGAGAAATAGACGGTATCTTCCTTTCCTCTCCTTTTTAAGTACTTTTTTTTTGAGAGGTTTTTAATTGGGGAAATTTTTGGGCCTCTTTTTTCTCTGAGGCCCCTTGAAATATGAGGCCCAAGGCAAAGCTGGCGCTAATTTCATTGTCTACGATGGATGCAAAATTTGTGGCATGTACTTCAGTAGTATAAGAAAATGTTTAGTTAAGGAGATTCTTTCAGTATCAAAGGATCTTTAATGATGCTGTGAGATATACATCAAATTTATTGTAATAGTCAAGATACTCAAATATAATTGATATAAAATATAATTTTGTATGAGACATCATAGCAAAAAAAAAGAAGTGACTTTAGTGTACATCTCTATGCATCATATGATAGCTGATCCGCTTACCAAATCTCTATGCATCTTTGTAAACTCTTAAAATGTTATTAATGAACAAATCTTTTTAAGTTTATATATAAGTTGTAATTCTTTATTGTGACTACTTATGAGCAATTTGTATACACATGTAAAAAGCATGTCAAACGTGTTAAAATTGTCTCACTTACATGAGTAATCACCTTAGACATTTTGTGATACGACAAATGAGATAAAATTGTATACGTAATTTAATTTATTGAAATGGATTTCGATGTCCATTAGACCTGTTTAGCTACCAATCTGGTTCTCGATTGAGATTATATTAATGAATAAATATAAGGAGAATTTAAGATAGGTATATAAGAATGTTTTAAACTAAGATACGCACTAATTTAATTTACATGATATGACATACACTTTAAGAAAATGGAGAAAATACCGTACCACATGTTCTACAACGATCAATGAAAAATGAAATAATTGATCCTTAATTCATTGTGTGAGTGGTTGAGGTGTATATATAAACACACACATACATCACTTATATACCCATATGATTTCAAACTGTTTTTCAATACTTTATTGCTAATTTATTATAAAGTCAATGATCATAAATGATTTGGTCTTACTCAATCTTACATGATATGTCTATGAAGTCAGCTATTTTAAAGTTTAGAGATTTGAGTAGGAAAAAAAGACCACTCTATCTAACATGCTTGCATTAATCGATTGGATAATTGTGTTAACTATTTGGGATTTTGAACACAATTGTGAATATATAGTGTCAAAGTTCAAGTATGTTCTTGTTAATTAAGGGATAAGAAAATACTTGAATTAGTGGTTGAAAAATAAATCTATGGTATTGTGAGAAATGGCATTTCTCTTATAGAGCTACTATATATTCATAATAGGTGTATAACATTGAGTGCTTTAAGTTACTCACGGTATCCATTTGCGAGTATGAACTCTGTGAGTTAATCTTTAGACAGATCTAATTGACAATTGTTGATTTTAGTCAAATCGTCATGTGCGAGTTGCAAATGTTGGCAATGGGTGTGTTGTCCATGTGAATTGACCTAACCCATGTACCATGGTGATAAATTGGAGGAAGAAGTTATTTGATTTGAGGAATAACTTTCCACCAGTCATAACCAACCATAACTCCCCACACTTTAAAGTGGGAGGTTGATTTCTTTTAAAATAAATATACAAAATTCGTATAGAAAAATTGTTGGATATGCAAAAGGCAAGAAATCATCATTTTTGGGTATACAATAATCACATTAAGGGTATTTTGATTGTGATAAACAATTCTAATACATGTATATTGATTTTGTTCAAACGGGGTTGATTCTGTGATAAATGAACTCCTTCCATTTGATCGAATTTTGAACCAAAGAGTACAAATAAAGAAAAGACGTGATTCATCCAAGTTATCTTTGAATTTCTTCAATTTCAATAATCTATTGATCAATAATCTTTGATTAATTAAGCCCCTATTTAACAATCACTAATTAGGTAAAATGGAGTTGTAAATAATGATTTTTTTTTAGAGAACGTGTGGTTAAAAAAATTAAGGAATTTTGTTTATAGCCCAAGAATAACTAGCCAAGAGGGGGGTGAATTGGTTATTAAATTTTTTTCGAAAAATTAATTCAAGTTTAAGGAAATTAAAAATGAATAAGTCAGTCAAACAAATATGCACATATACGAAAGTAATAAGTAAAAGTGAAGAGTGTGCAAATGATGTAATTGTGGATGTTCTATCCAAATGATGATCTACGTCCTCCGTTACCAAACTTCCGTCATGAGCAAAGCCTTCTCACTATATTTGATTGAATTATGATGCAATCCAAACCCATACAATACTTTCGATGACCTATAAACAAGAAATATCGATCCTTATACAATATTGAGTTTTACGGGACCTCAATATG